TTAGGAAGACATGAGCTGGAGGCCAGGGCCTGCCAGGGCATGGAGGTCCGTCTGGCAAACCCCTCACTTTGAGTTAAGACCATGCAGGACAGGACTAAAAGTGGCCAAAAGCAGACAGCTCAGCTTCAAATCATCTCAGCCAAGGACGTTATAGTGAAGCAACCCTAGGTTGCTAGTGCCCCAAATTGCAGGTACCTGTCAGAAACAAACATGAATTCTCTCTTTAGGAAAATTACATCACCTGAGACCTCAAATTAGTTTTACAGACAATTATGCAAATACTGTGCCTGGCATACAATAAAAAATAATAAATAAGAATAATGTAAACAAAAGCCAGTAGGAAAAAAATAGACAAAAGAAACAGACCCACAGGATTCCAAACAAAGGTGTGTTTTTTAATCAAATATGGACTTTCAAATAATTATTTGTACTATACTAATAAAAGGGTAATATGATAATTAGACTGAATAGACCAAACGTCTTCTGGACAAAGCCATGGTGGTGGGGGCCAAGGCAGAGGCAGTTAGGGGTGATCAGGCAGGCAGACATATGGTTAGGGGCGATTAGGCTGGCAGGGGAGAGCAGTTAGGGGCATAAAGCAGGCAGGAGGGGTTAGGGGCAATGAGTCAGGTAGGCAGAGGTGATTAGGGGCGATGAAGCAGGCAGGCAGGTGAGTGGTTAGGAGCCAACAGTCCCAAATTGCAAGAGGGATGTCCAACTGCCAGCAGTCGGACATCCCTTGAGGGGTCCCAGATTGGAGAGGGTGCAGGCTGGGCTGAGGGACACCCCCCCCCCCATCGTGTACAAATTCCATGCACCAGGCCTCTAGTTCTTAATAAGATTGAAATTTTAAGAGAATTGGAAACTCTCAATTATAAAATCTAGAAACAAAAAGTAGTAATACCTGAAATCAAAAACTCAATAGATAAGTTAAAATAAATGAGACACAGTTAAAGAGATAACTAGTGAACTGGAAGATAGGTAAGAAGAAAATACCCTCAGATGAGGATTGAAAAAAAAAGTGAGGATCTGTTCACAAGAAATAGGAAAAAATAATGTGAATGGGTGGGCAGATAATATGCCCACTCCATCCATGCTGCCCAATTCCACTACATCATCTCACAGGCCAATTCCACCTCTGCCATGGGAGCACAGAAAGACAAATGAATGGAAAATAAAAGAGCAGGTAAGACATAGAGCAGCGATTTTCAAACTTGACTATACATACAAATCACTTGGGGATCATGTTAAAATTCAGATTCTGTGTTAGTAGGTACAGGGTGAAACCTGAGATTTTGAATTTTTAACATGCTCCCAGGTGATGCTGCTGCTGATCCATGGAACACATTCGGAATATAAAGGTCACAGAGGATGCGAGGAGATATTCCAAAGAAGAGGAGAAAGACAGTGGGGCAGAAGATAAAATGTCTGAAAACTTTTCAAAACTGTTGAAAGATATCAAGCCACAAATGCAAGATCTACAAACTCTACAGGCAATAATGTAAAGAAATCCATGCCTAGGCTCATCATAACAAAGCTGCTAAACAAAAAATACAAACAAAAAAATCTTAAAAGAAGGCAAAGGATGCCGAAACCGGTTTGGCTCAGGGGATAGAGCGTCGGCCTGCGGACTGAAAGGTCCCAGGTTCGATTCCGGTCAAGGGCATGTACTTTGGTTGCGGGCACATCCCCAGTGGGAGATGTGCAGGAGGCGGCTGATCGATGTTTCTCTCTCATCAATGTTTCTAACTCTCTATCTCTCTCCTTTCCTCTCTGTAAAAAATCAATAAAATATATTAAAAAAAAAAAAAGAAGGCAAAGGAAAAAAAGACCAGTTACCTTCAAAAGGACAACAATTAGATTGTCATCTAATTTATCAGAAATAATGGGAGCCAGAAAACAATGCAATGGCATATTTAAAGTATGAAAGAAAAGTAGTTATCAACCTATGACTGTATACCATGCAAAAATATCTTCAAGATTAAAATGAAATAAAGAAATTTTCAGACAAAGACTGAGGGAATTTATCATCAACACACCTACCCTAGAAAAATATTAAAGAGCATTCTTTAGCTAGAATGAAAATGACCCCAGGTGGAAGCTTAATGATGCAATAAGGAAAGAAGAGCAATTAGAAGGTGAATATATGGGTAAATATCAATTAATATTGACTATATAAAAATGATGATGATGATGATAATGTTATCATCTTAGGGAGGATCTAAAATATATGCAGAATTGAAATGTGCAGCGACGGCATATACATGGGAGGAGGGCAGCTGGAAGTTCTAAGTCCCTTGCACTGGCTGAGAAAAGTGCCAATTAATGATATCAGACTTTGGTAAGTTAAAGATTCATGGTTTAATCCCTTCAGTAACCACTAAAAGTAATTTAAAATTATATAATAGCCAAACTAATAGAGTGGGAGAAATAGAGTATTTTTAAGCTACTCAATCCAGAAGAAGGCACAAAAGGAAAGAAAAGCAAAATAGTGGGACAAATAAAAAATATTTAGTAAGATAGAATATTTAAACTCAAATACATTAATAATTGCATTAAAGATAAATTCACTAAGTTCTCCAATTAAAGAGTAAACACTATCAAACTGGCTAGCAATGAAACAAAACCCAAATATGTGCTGCTTATAGGAGACATCTAAAACATGAAAGTATAGAACAGTTCAACATGAAAGGGTGTAAAATAATAAAAGGCATACCATGCAAACCCATCTAAGAGAAAACTGGAATATTAATATCAGACATAGTAGGCCATAAGGCAAAAAGAGTTATCTATATATATAAAAGGCTAAGTGTCCATCTGACTGGTAGATAAGATGTGCACTGATCACCACGGGGCAGACGCAAGATGCAGGAGCTGCCATGACGCACACTGGCCATTTAACAATAAACAGCACCACGGACCTGGCGCCGACAAACCAACACTCAGCTTCCCCCAAGTGGGACACAGGCCCCACTACCACCCCGGAGCAACAGCCCACCAAATCGCAGCCAATGCTGCCAAGACCCCATGGCACAAAATGCGGCCCACAGCCCAGCCCAGCCCGGAAACGGTCACTGTGGGCGCCAAGTAATGACATCACATAGCAACACCCGGCTTCCTCTCCTTAGCGACTAGCCTCCTTGGAGTTTCTTCAGCCCAGGAACACAACTTGCTTTATAGCCAGGTGCAAACATCTCACACTGTAACCAAACGTCTGTGAAGCGTTTTCCCTGCCTCATCTCATTTGATCCTCACAAGTCCTGGAGTAGGTAGATAGGAGACTCAGTGGAATCCTATTTTCTTTTTATTGGCTGGAAAACAGAGATTTAGAAAGCTTAGAAACTTAACCCGACTGAAAAGAAGTAAGAAATGGTGGAACTTGAAAATGACTTCAGGTTTTCTCGCTGTGCAGAATATAGTCAAACACTGCTGCAGTTAAATATTTTACCCTTTGTTCTCCCTGCGTGATCTACAATAATAATCTGCTTCATATTGATATTTACTGCTGTGTTGCTGACAATTACCTGAAAGAGAAGTTGGGGTGCTTCACTGGGCTGGAAAAAGTTTAGCTACATCAGAAAGCAGCTCTAATTAAGCAAGTTTATTCTATATTATAAAAGGCTAAGTTGACTTGCACATGCACCATACATATAAAGCTCTCGCTGGTGCCAATTGCACGTGTGTGTTTTGATCTGTCATTGTTGGTCATGAATTTGGTTGACACTTCTATTATAGAGAAAGGGCATATAGCGATATTGAAATATTTCTTCTAATTAATTTCCTTTCAATGTGCACCAATCCATGCACCAGCACACTAGTTAGAAATAAAAAAAGATACTTTGTTAGGATAAAAAACGCCATTTACTAGGCACATAAAACAGTTCTAAATTTGTGTGAACTGAATAACATAACCTCAAAATATCTAAAAAGAAAAACTGACAGAACTAGAAGGATGAATAAACAAATCTACAATCATAGTGGAAAATGTCAACATACCTCTCCCAACAACTGATAAGAAAAAGAGTGCACAGGATAAAGGGCAGATTCGCACAGTGCAGTTAGCACACCTGCCCAGCGGCCACCCGCAGAGCCCCGCGATCCACCGCTGCGAGGTGCACGGTGAGGGCCCTGGGGGCCAAGTGGCGGAGGGAGGGCACAGCAGTGAGGAAGGGTGGAGTCAAGGGCGAAGGCCAGCTTCTGAGCTCGGGGCCTGTATGGGCGATGATGCTACATCTAGTTCTTTTATTTAACCTAGAATTGTTGACCACTTACTAGATTCAAAAAAAAAATAGGTAGCTGCTAGAAGCTGAGAGGGAATGCAAAAGTAATAATGGTTGTAATTTATTGAGTGTCTTCTTTGTGTCAGGCACTATGCCGGGTGCTTTATTTTAATGAGCATGAATTCTCCCTACAAACCCTTAATGTGGTTGTTGTTATGTCCATTGTATAGATGGGGAAACTGAGGCTCAGAGAGGTAAAATAAGTTGAGTGAGATACCGTCACTATCCACAAAGGTGTGTGAGAGCTCCCAGGAGGGAAGGCAAGCGCGCAACCACACGAGGGAGAGACGGAGAAGGAGAGTGTGGGCTGAGGGCAGGCAGGCCCAGAGCGGGGGCAGGGGAGGTCGGAGTCTATATGAATGACGACCACTTCCGCGTGGCTCCCAGCGACTCTGAGACGAGTCAGAGCCCAGCCAATTCTAACGTAGACTCTCCCTCCTGAAAACAGGAAGGGCCTAGCCAGCACCGCGAAGGCAGTGCCCTGGCGCCCGGCAGCAGACAGGCATCCACGGGCTGACCACAGCCCTTGACCCTCGGGAGCAGGCCCACTCTGTGAGACTCTGGAGCCCCTGGCTTCACGTTGCTCAGAGGCCAGGAAAAGCAAAGCGCCCAGGGCATTTGTTTGGCCTGAATACACGTTATTAGTCAGTAGAGCATTGGGGCGGGGAGCAGATTAGGGTCTTAGGGATCAAGATGAATTCCTCACGGGTTTTACTTCTCCCCTGCGAGTCCTAAATCCTTGGCTCTAGCCAAACAGCTCTGATGCTGGCCACCCCCAGTGCCTTTATCTCAGAGACTTTGTTACATGCTCAAAATGTATCATCACCTTTCCTCTCCCACCACTTTGCCAAGCTGGAACCTCCCCCCTCTAAACCATAGCTCAGGGACACCTCCTCCAAGAAGCTCACCCAGATTGATCAGCCTCACTCTCCCTAGCATGTCATTCTTTCCCAAAGGCTGTGCTCCTTCTTTCTCTAAACTGACCCGTCTTCTCCCTGCTCAGTTCCAGGTCCCCCCGCGGGCGTCAAAGCCGTACCTTCGTCTGCCAGCAGCGTGGTGGTGTCCTGGCTGCCCCCTGCCAAGCCCAACGGGTGATCCGCAAGTACACCATCTTCTGCTCCAGCCCCGGGTCTGGCCAGCCGGTAAGCGGGCCCAGGGCTGAGGGGTAAGAGGACGAGAGGAAGAAAAAAGTCCCCTGTGGGTCAGCTGGCTTCCAGGCCAAAGCCCAGGGCTGTGTCTGTCTGTGTTTCTACCTGGGTTCAGGGATAGGAATGGGCACTTGTCACACGAGAGTGGCCGAAGCCTCACCCAGTGTCCATCTGAGTCAGTCCTTGCTCCAGGGGTGGCAAGGTTTCCCAAGCCCTGGAGGCTCCTTCGAGTCAGGGGTCACGACCAGGCAGGCCCGAGAGGGAAGCCGGGGCCGAGGCCCTTCCGGTCTGACCGACCAAGAAAACCCCTGGCAGGCCCAGAGCTGTTGGTTGCCTGGGCACTGGCTGGTCCGTGTCTCTAGAAAGGGGGTGCTTTTCAGCGTGGTCGGTCTGGGCGTGGAGGCTGCGGGGCTCTGCCCTGAGAGCCCCTTCAGCAGGGAGCCAGCTGGAGGGAGGAGAGGAAGGAGGAAGACGGAGGACAGCTGAGAGGGGCAGGGGCATCTCTCCAGACCAGGGCCTGGGCCCAGTGCTGGTGAGCAGACGGAGAGGCTGCAGTATGTGCCCAGACCCTGGAGTGAGGGGTGGCCCCAGGCTGGGCACAGTGCCAGCCCCTGCCCTCCCACTGAACCCAGGAACGAGAGGATGAGGGCGGCTGCCGTGGCTATGCACCCACATCCCATAATACACACCCTCCCTCTGCCTCCTCTCCAGCCCCTCAACCGCAGAGCTGCTGGCCTGCTCTGGTTACGAGAGCAGGAGCCAGGACACCTGCCCTCAGCAGGCTTCCGGTCCAGGGGGCCTGGAGGGGCGACAGCAGTTAGGGAGTTGTGCGTGGGGCTGTCCTGGCTTCAGGTTGGTGTTGCCTTTCCATGCCGTCTGTCTGGCTTCTTTGACTGGATGGCATTTTGAATTTGTGAATTTCACCCACATTGTTGTGTGTGGCATAGACAGTCCACTCTCACTTCTGTGCAGGTTTCTGTTTACGCACATGTTACAAGCTGTTCTACATCCATGGGCAGCTGGGTAGTTTTCAGTTCGGAGCTAAGACAAACGTGCTGCCATGGACATTCTCGTGCGTGTCTCTTGGTGCTCATCATCCCTGTGGGGCGCGTACCTAGGAGCGGAATTGCTGGGTCATGGGGCCTGCAGGTGGTGGGCTGGGAGTACCCTGCCATGGGTGGTGGTTGTGCCAATTTTCCAGCAGATGTCTTCTGCCCCCTCTCCCCCTCCCCCACCCTTACACACACACACACACACACACACACACACACACACACACACTCACACACTTTCCAGGCTCTCCTCACACTAAACTTGTCACATCTGGGCGCCCACAATGCCTTTCCACAGCACGACACCCCTGCCCACTGCTGCCTCCTGCAGGCGTCCTCCCTCTGTCACACGCTGGGTGGGCTGGAGGGCAGTTAGCTGTCCATGCGTGTCTCCCGCACTAGTCCACGGGGCCTGTGAGGACAAGGGCAGCATCTTTTTCATCTTTGGGTCCGAGCTGCCAAACACTGTGCCTGGAACATCATTGTCATGAAAAGCACGCAGCCTGGCACCTGCAAAGCCTCGGGCATCAGGCCGTTCCCTTCAGAAACGGGCTCTCCAGCTCGGTGTCTGCTCTTCGGATGAGGAAGTCTTCCCAAGGGCTGGGGATCCAGGAGCCCGGCCTCCTCATTCGCGTGGGCTGGAGGAGCCCCCTCCACGGGCCCAGAGCAGAGCTGCTGCTCCCCATTCCTCCCTCCTGCTGCTGAGACGGGCCCTCCCTGCTCCCTCTTCGTGTCCCGAGCATGTCGGGACCTCCTCTCTGTGATAAGGTTTCCCATCGGACAGTGTCAACAAGGGGCCGGTGCGCTAGTGAGAGGGGAACTTCAGCCACATCTCGGGGTAGGGACCCGGGGACCTAACCACCGAATTCCAAATACCTGCTTGACAGATCCATTTCTGAAAGGGCTTGGGGAGTGAGCGCGGGGCGGGGCTCGCCTGTGTGTGCGTGGCGTGCAGAGCGGTGGGTAGGCGTGCGGGTTGGAGACAGATGCACACGAGTCGAAGTGTATGAGCGTGTGTGTGCGCAACCCTAGAATAGACGTGGAAAACTACATATGGCGCTGGCTCCCCACAAGTTACGCCTTGAGACAGCCGAGCTGCATTGAGTCCTGTTGGAAATTTTACCCAACACTTTAAAACATTTGTTGTTTTTCTCTAATGATCAAAATAATGCAATTTATTGTGGAAAATTCTGTAAATATATAAAAGAAAGAAAGGAAAGCAAAAATTACTTATACTCTTATTTCCTAAAGAGAAGCACTGTCAATGTTTTGGTATTCAGCCTTCCAGTATTTGATCTGTACATATATTGTGGGTTTTAGGTGTATGTGTGTGTTTTGTTTTGTTTTTTAATTGAAATAAGCCCAGCCAGCATGGCTCAGTGGTTGAGCGTCGACCTATGAACCAGGAGGTCATGGTTCAATTACCGGTCAGGGCACATGCCCAGGTTGTGGGCTCAATCCCCAGTGAGGGGCATGCAGGAGGCAGCTGATCAGTGATTCTCTCTCATCAATGATGTTTCTATTTCTCTCTCCCTTCCTCTTTGAAATCAATACAAATATTTTTTAAATAAAATTTTTACTTTCTTTTTTGTTGTATTGTTGATACTATTACAGATGTCCCCTATCCTCCCCTCCCCCTTTGCCCACCTCTGAGTAGCCCCTACCTACGGTCTGTGTCCATTAGCTCTTTGGCTAATTTCTTCACCTGCTTTTATCCAGTCCCCCTCCCCTGCCCTCTGACATCTGTCCATCTATTCCAGTGATTCCCAAAGTGGGCGCTACCGCCCCCTGGTGGGCGCTGCAGTGATCCAGGGGGGCGGTGATGGCCACAGGTGCATTTGTTTTAACTTTTTTTGTATTACCTTTCTATTCTGAGTTCAATAAATAGTTTCATAATTTCAAACTTCAATGTTTCTAATTTACACCTTTCTTTACTATATTTTACGAAAAAGGTAGAAACTTTAATACATATATCTTTCTGTTTAATTGCTATTAAAATTTTAAAAAAATTAATTTCCAGGGGGCGCTGAGTAATATTTTTTCTGGAAAGGGGGCGGTAGGCCAAATAAGTTTGGGAACCACTGATCTATTCCATGTATCCATGCCTCTGGTTCTATTTTATTAGTCAGTTTATTTTGTTCATTAGATTCCCCATATTAGTGAGATCATATGGCTTTTCATATAATATAGTGGGCACTTTCCAACACCATCAAATATTTTTTAAATATGATCTTAAATGCATGTTTGTACATACTCTATTTAACTACTCCTTCCATTATTCCATATTAATCTATTTTCAAATTTTCACCATTATAAATAATGTTTCATTGAGACATAAATGTCCCTATGCACATGATTTATTATTTCTTACAGTAAATTTCTGTAGGAATATTCTTAAAGTTTGCATAGACATTTGCAAATTACCCTTCAGAAAGTTTTCACCCATTTGTGCTTCCACTAGCATGGTAAGTGCATTCTTGTTCCTTGTGCCATGTTAATCCAAAGTATTATATATTTTTCATCTTTGCCAGTTGGATTTTTTTAAGTTTTTTTTCTTTAATTACTAGTTAGGTTGATTATTATTATATGTTTTTACTGGGGTTTGTTGTTGTTTTCATTGTTGTCAATTCATGTCCCTTGTTCATTTTTTATTTACATGGCTCGTGTGTTCTTTTTCTTATTGATTTGCAAATACTCTTTGCATATTAAGGATAATAACATTTTTTATTATACAGGTTGCAAGTGTTTGCTAGGTCATTGTTTGCCTTTGATTCTATTTTTGGTGTAAAAATCTGTATATCAGGTTTTCTTTTCATATAATTCAAATTTATAAACCATTTCCATTTATAATTTTGCCTTTGCTTTTGTGATTAAAACACAGATAACCTATCATTTTTTCTTTTATATATATATATATATATATATTTTTATTGATTTCAGAGAGGAAGGGAAAGGGAGAGAGAGATAGAAACATCAATGATGAGAGAGAATCATTGATCGGCTGCCTCCTGCATTCCCCCTACTGGGGATCGAGCCCACAACCTGGGCATGTGCTCTGACTAGGAATCAAACCAGGGAATCAAACCAGCGACCTCCTGGTTCATAGGTCAACCACACCAGCCGGGCTTACTTGTTTTCTTTAACCTTTGATCCACTGGAACTTTACTTGGGAGGATGACTGTATGTGTTTTTAAGGGATTTCAGCAGATTCTTGGGGAGTCCAGAGTAAAGGGAAGTGTGCTGGGTAAGGTCCTAACGCCTTCAAGAGGAAGCCAAACCCTCCCTTCCCTGCGTAGAGAGAAATGTGCACGCAGGTGCACACTCACACGCACAAGCAGCTACACTCAGCTTTTCTTCACACACACACACACACACACACACACACACACACACACACAATGCACCACGCAGAGTAGGCAGAGCTGTATTGCTTTCTTCATTTGCAGCAGAGAAAACTGAGGCCCCAGGATCCCTAAGAGACATTGGAGTCATATGTCTAGTGAGAAGGGCACGCAGGTGTTAAAGCCACTCCCCACCCTACCTCATGCACGGACATGAGCACAGATGTGCACACAGCCCCCCCACTACCAGGGCCCAGGTGGCTCTGCACCTTCCCCCAGCAGGGACCTCCTGGCTTCAAGGCCAGATCTCCATGGGGGAGGGGGAAGAGGAGTTGGCCAGGGAGTTCTCCGTCAGTTGCAGAATGCCTGTGCCTTCTCCTTAGCACTTCCCTGCATACAGCCTGGGCCCCTGTTGTCAGTCATGGGGCCCTCAGCCCTACCATGGGCACAGAGAACATGCCTCTGGGACTGTGGAGGTCTGCCCCTCGGCATGTGATGAAAGCATCTACATGTCTGTGTGTCCGAGTGCGCATGTGCACATATGTGGGCACGATCCTGTGACTGCAGAGATAACTAATTATTAGCTCCCTCTGGCCTCAGGGCCCCCCATCTGTTCCGGGGGCTCCCCCTCCCGAGACTTCCGCCCTGATTTCAAAGAGGCTCTAGTGCGGTCCTCCTCCCTCTTCCCTGCAGCCGACCAAAAAATAACATAAAATGAAAGCCAGCCCATCCCGCCTGCGCCGGGAAGAGGCTGCCAGGAGGGCTGCAAACTAGCGCTTATCAAAAGCTCCTGCTCAAATTCATTTCAATATCTGAGCCTCTGGTTTCCACGGTAACATAATCTTTTCATCAAAGCAACTGGTAAAACCACTGGGATCTGATATTGTTTTGTTGGCAACTTGTCAAAACTGTCATTTGGTTAAAAAAAACCTATAGATTTATAGAACCTACAGCTATAGACAGGGTCTGCGCCGATAACCGGTAATGAAGTGCTGCCCGGGGAAGCTCTCGGTCCCTCGCCGCCCCTTCGCCTAACCCCTTCGCCCGGACCTGGCTTCCTGCAGAACGAAGGAGCGGTGATGAGGGCTGGGGGGCCTCGCGTGCGGACAGGCGAGGGGAATGGAGCACGGTCATTTAGCTTCTTCCAGAAACTCCCTTTCTCAAGCTTTTGCTGGGACCCTCCCTCCTCTATTCCCCTCTCCCCGCTCCCTCCAGCTTTCAACCGAAACACACATCCCTGGCCTTGGAGCCGCAGTTGCCAGCCAGGGATGATCAGTGGTACCTGAGGCCGACCCAGCAGCCCCGGAGCAGGCCCATCAGCTCCCGGGCCACGTCCAGGGCCAAGGAGGCAGGATGTGCCTCCCTTGCACAGCCCCGAGGCCGCCACCCCTGAGCCCAGGGCCCCACGGCGAGGTTGGGGCTGAGGGCTGGAGGCCCGAGGGCCTGGGGTCTCAGGACGGCTTCGCCTCCGCCCCACAGGCCCCCAGCGAGTATGAGACGAGTCCGGAGCAGCTCTTCTACCGGATCGCCCATCTGAACCGAGGCCAGCAGTACCTGCTGTGGGTGGCGGCCGTGACCTCCGCCGGCCGGGGCAACAGCAGTGAGAAGGTCGTCGTCGAGCCTGCTGGCAAGGGTGAGCAGCCTGGGGCTGGGCCAGAGGGACAGAAGCTTCCAGACGCTCTGTTCTGGAATTCTGGTTCTGCACAAATAGGGGATGTCTCCCTCCACCCTGTCTGAGGGGCTGGCCCACTGCCTCCCTTCTGCATCCACCAAGACTGGGCCTCTGCTGCCCCCTGCTGCCCAGAGAGCCTCACGACAGGCTTGAGGCTGCTCTGGTGCCTGGGGCTGGGGGCACGGAGCACCGGCCCCCCACTTCAAACTCTACTCTGGGGTTAGAGAAGGGGAGGTAGCCCCTTGCAGCCCCAGCAAACCCTTTGTCCCAGTGCTCAGCTCCTCAGAGGGGCCGAGGCAGGGTCCCTGCCTGCCAGAGCAGGGCCCGCCCTGAGCCTGGACGCCTCACACACAGGGGGCCACCCTGCTCGCTGGTTCGCTCCGGCAGAAGTCACACCGAGTGCGTATGGTGGAGGAGGCTCTGGGGAGAAGCCACACGGGTGGTGTAGCCTGTGCTTGGCCTGCAGGAGTGCCCACTGAACCCCTGACCTGGACACGCGTGTGCCAGGGAGCACATGCACACCACCTGACAGGGCAGGACGGTTCTGAGGCCACAGCCCGATGGAGACAGAGGCGGCCACACAGAGCTGCAAGGCTGCCTCTGTGCCAACCCTGCGGCGGGGGTGTGGCCACAGGCTCTGACTCGGGTTCACTATTTGATGCTGGGCTTCCCTGGGCCCTTCCTGCCGGCCCTGCCTCCTCCCACGGCCACCTGACCTCTAGCCCAGGGCCCAGGACCAGAACTCGGATGGAGCTGGAGGAAGGGGACTTTAGCTGGGACACAGGAGGCATCAGCCCTCCCCTGACACAGGCTCAGAGTCAGCTCGCACGCTGGGCCCGCAGTGGGCCCGGCCCCAGCCCTGCCCGTGAACTTGACATCCCATTTACAGCTGAGCACACGCAGGGCCCACGGCCTGTGGGGCGGCTGTGACAGGTGGGCTGGTCCTCCTGGCTCCACACTGGGGCACTGTCCACGTGGCTCAGCGTCTCTAACCTCCCCTGACCCTTCTTCTCAGCGGCACTACCACCGCCTTCTCCTAAACGCATCTCCTGCTGGAGGAATGGCTGAGAGCGAGAGTGCCCCGGGCAGCGGGCACTGGCCTGGCACAGGGGCTGAGGGGCTGTGTCTCAGCAGAAGGCTGAGCCTTCCCCTGTGGGCGTGAAATGTCACATCCGGGACTCTGTCCTTCCCAAAACACAGCCACACATCTCCCTGTCCTGTCCCCACAGCGGCCTGTGAGGCAGGAGGGACATGCTGTGCACCGAGCGCCACACCTGCCCGGAGGGCCAGGCAGTTCAAGGCCAGCCCCGGCCACACGGTGGCCAGACGGTGGAACCGGGCCAGAACCCCACCTCCAGAGACCTGGCGCTCTCCCCGGGCCCCCAGGACCGCTCTGTGGCCCCAACAGAAGCCATCACCGGGGCCCCTCAGCTCCATCCGAGTCTTTCCGGCCTCCAGGCATCCTCCCCGCTCAAGCACCCCTTTCCTTCTCAGCCGCCCCCAGATCCTCCCTCCCGCCAAGGCTCAGTGCCGCCCACCCAAGGAGGAGCCTCAGGCCCTGCACCCCAGCCCTGAACAGGCCTCCTGCCCCTTAACCTGCCGTCCCCCAGGAAGGCCCTGGCTGAGAAGGCCCCTCTGCTCAGAAGCACTGCAGCCGCTGGTTCATTTCCAGCCCTACTGTGCGCCTGGTGGCTGTGAGGTTCCTGCCAGGACCACCTCTCCCTGAGCCCCCACTCCTCCCATCTCTCCTGCACCCCCACTCTCCTCCACATCTCTCCTGCACCCCATCTCCTCCCCTCCCTTCTCTCCTCCCCCATCTCTACTGCACCCCCACTCTTTCTTCCGAGAGCCTTGTCTCCATGAGGACACTCCCACCCCTGAGCTGGCCCAGCTGGACCCAGCAGTCACCCTCACCAAACGCACTGTTTGTCTGTGACTCCTCGCCTCATGTGGTAGCTGACCCCTAACAGCACTGATAAATTCCCTGCACCCACCCCCAACCCCAAGTCCAAGGTTGAGGTCAGGTGGGAGAGGCAGGACTTTCTGTGAACTTTGGGGAGCCCTGAGAGGGGGGCCAAGGCAGTGTTGGGTGCAGAGGGGTGGCCTCACCCTCTCCTCTCTGTAGCCCCAGCGAAGATCATCTCCTTTGGGGGCACCGTGACCACACCCTGGATGAGGGACGTCCGGCTGCCCTGCAGTCCGGTGGGCGATCCGGCCCCGGCTGTGAAATGGACCAAGGACAGGTGTGTGGGGCCCGGAAGGCGGGTGAGCCCAGAGAGGAGCCCGTAGAAGGTCCATCTCAGGAGCAGGCCTGGCCTCCGACTCCTCTCTGCTGGGAGTTCAGGATCTCCCTTCCCCAGATGGTCGAAAGGCCAAGGTTCCTAGACAGCCCCGGAAGTCCTAAGTAAAGCCCCACGAAGCAGGCACCCCTAGCAAGCCGCCTCCTGCTCCCAGCTCCATCTGCCCGCAGACCCGGGGGAGGCCCAGGGGAGGGGTGCGTGCCATAACCCATCCCCCACAGTGAGGACTCGGCCATCCCCGCGTCCGTGGACGGGCACCGGCTCATCCACGCCAACGGCACGCTGCTGCTGCGCGCGGTCAAGGCGGAGGACTCGGGCTACTACACCTGCACGGCCACCAACACCGGGGGCTTTGACACCATCATCGTCAACCTGCTCGTGCAAGGTGAGGCCGGTGCGGCGGGCGGGCGGCCGGGCGGGGCGGGACCGAGAAGCGGTGGAAACCCCATCGTGTGAGAGGGGGCTGTCGAATGGAAGAGAAAGATCAACCCGCCCCCCCCCCCACCCCGGGAAAGTGAGCCTCAGGGAAGGAGCAGGTGGGGGTGCACCCAGGGGTGGGAAAGCCAGTCCCTCGCCCTCCTGCCCATCGGGATCCCCCAGTCCCCATCATCAGAAGGTGGCCCTGTGGTGAGGGCTGCGGCTTTCCCCCACAGTGCCCCCCGACCAGCCCCGCCTCACCGTCTCCAAAACCTCCGCCTCCTCCATCACCCTGACCTGGATTCCAGGGGACAATGGGGGCAGCTCCATCCGAGGTGAGAGGGGTCTGCCTGAGGGGGGGTGAGGGAAGGGCTTCCCCCGCCCCCACCACTTGTGCTGAGAATGCCCAGGGAGTGACCGCAGGAGATTCCCAGGGCGGGGGCGGGGGGATGGGGGGGACGCGGGAGAAGTAGCACCCCGGCCTGGGCCTCTGGGCTTTAGCTGCTGGGGAGCTGTGCAAACCGGGAAGTCATCCTCTTCTCTGGGCCCCAGTTTCTACGTCTGCCGAGTGGACGTGCCCTAAGATGAGAGCTTCTCAAACCTGAACCTGCCCGTGACTCACCAGGTCCTGCAAGAAGCCCTGACTCAGGGCTGTGGTGGGCTGAGCGCTGCATGTTCAGCAGGCACCCGACCGCTGCCGCGGGCACATGCACAGCACAGGGGCTAAGCAGGGGCC